ATTTTTAACTTCTATTCATGTAATTTCTAACTTCTATTTGTGTAATTTTTAAATTTTTAAATTAAGACAATATATAATCCAACTTCTTTATTTGTTCGGTGTAAATTTCATCTTATTTCTATTATTTAGACGAAAAACGTCTTCTTCATTGATGCCATCAACGAATTTAGAATTTTTACACTTCTGCCTAGCAACCATCATTATGAAGTCGTTTGGTATCGCCACTGCGTGCTCATTTGGTGATTGCGCACCTGGTCAGGATCATTATGTTGATGCACCATACAGTGTGCTATGAGGGAAATTTTGCCCGGACACCGGCACTACGCTCTACTCTTGTATCGAATTTCATCTGTCAAGAGATGCGGTTCGACGACCACTCGAGACAAACTATGCCATTTCGTGACTAACATATGGTTCAATTTTATTTCAATAATTCGCTTGCGAGTAGTGGTCTAGCAGTGGGAGGAAACTGTAGGACCCTACTCCTTTTCACGTACAACCACCGAACCAATCCTGAAATTGAAAACAACATCGAGTCGTCTGTATCAAATTGAGCACACGGTGGCGACACCAAACAACGTCATAATGATGGTTGCTAAATAGAAGTATCAAAATTCTAAATTTGTTTGACTTTCATGCTTAACATGTAAAGCGACAACAAAGTAGACATTTTTCGTCTTCATAATAGAAATAAGATGAAACAGAATTAAAATTTACAAGGAACAAATAAAGAAGTTGGATTATATGTTGTCTTAATTTAGAAATTAAATGAATAGAAGTTAGAAATTACACGAATAGAAGTTAGAAATTAGACGATAGCATGTTAGAATTTTGAATCTAATATACCGCCATAGTTTGGAAGTAGACAATTTTATAACAATGAATTTCACACCATCTACGCTTGTTTTCATCTGCTTGACACTAGTTTATAGCATTATGAAGTATTATATCAAAATAAATTAAAACGCACCCCCCAAATCATCTAAAATAGTTCTATTGTAACGACACCACAGTAAATATAGTGGTAGCTGGAATGGAAAGGCACACGGCTCATTGCCTGGTGTATTTAATCATTTAAAGATAGGTTGCCAGGCAACCAAACATACGCCCACAGCACCTAAATTGTCCGGGAAGTCAACAATAGTTGTCGCATATTTTTACTTTTATTGGTAATGAAACACTAAAATCTGATTAAGAGTAACAACTCATGAAGTAATTATCAAAAAACCATTAGAATTTTGTCTGTCAGTTTTGGGACGATTTTCACGAAATTCGAACTCAGTCGTCCTTAGGGTTTAACGGTGATATAATAATACGTTTTTTTAAATTGGATAAAAATTATGGCCTCTATAGGGTCCACAAGCTAAAAACGCGATTTTCGTACAATCAGGGGCCATAATTCATGAAGTTACGGTCCGATATGTGCGAATATCGACATGAACCGGGATCTTTGGGTTATAAACTTATATTTCAAGTTTCAACAAAATCGGGTAAAAATTGTGACCTCTATAGGGTCCACAACCTTGATATACCATATTTTTACGCTATTTGAGAACGAAGAGCGGCCATTTTGTCTGTCAGTTTTAGGCCGATTTTCACGAAATTCAAACTCAGTCGTCCTTTGGGTGTAACAGTGATATGATAATACAGTTTTTTTAATCGGATAAAAATTATGACCTCTATTGGGTCCACAAGCTAACCAGCGGCTGCCAGGCAAGATACGCCCACATTTTCGAGAGATGGATAGAGAACAAGCTAACAAGAAAGTGATTTTTCCTACAATCAAGGGCCATAATTCAGGATATTACAATTCGATATGCGCATATATCGAAAGGAACTGAGATCTTTGTGTTATAAACTTACATTTCAAGTTTCAACAAAATCGGATAAAAATTGTGACCTCTATAGGGTCCACAACCTTGATATACCATATTTTTACGCTATTTGAGAACGAACGGCGGCCATTTTGTCTGTCAACTTTGGGGCGATTTTCACAAAATTCAAACTCAACTGTCCTTAGGGTGGAACGGTAATATAATAATACGTTTTTTTAAATCGGATAAAAATTATGACCTCTAATGGGTCCACAAGCTAAAAACAATTTTTCGTACAATCAGGGGCCATAATTCAGGAAGTTACGGTCCGATATGGGCAAATATTGAAAGGAACCGAGATCTTTGGGTTATAAACTTATATTTCAAGTTTCAACAAAATCGGATAAAAATTGTGACCTCTATAGGGTCCACAACCTTGATATACCATATTTTTACACTATTTGAGAATGAACGGCGGCCATTTTGTCTGTCAATTTTGGGCCGATTTTCATGAAATTCAAACTCAGTCGTCCTTAGGGTGTAACGGTGATATAATAATACGTTTTTTTAAATCGGATAAAAATTATGACCTCTATAGGGTCCACAAGCTAAAAACGCGATTTTTCGTACAATCAGAGGCCATAATTCAGGAAATTACGGTCCGATATGCGCGAATATCGAAAGGAACCGAGATCTTTGGGTTATAGACTTACATTTCAAGTTTCAACAAAATTGGATAAAAATTGTGACCTCTATAGGGTCCACAACCTTGATATACCATATTTTTACGCTATTTGAGATATGGGCAAATATTGAAAGGAACCGAGATCTTTGGGTTATAAACTTATATTTCAAGTTTCAACAAAATCGGATAAAAATTGTGACCTCTATAGGGTCCACAACCTTGATATACCATTTTCTTACGCTATTTGAGAACGAACGGCGGCCATTTTGTCTGTCAATTTTAGACCGATTTTCATGAAATTCGAATTCAGTCGTCCCTAGGGTGTAACGGTGATATAATAACACGTTTTTTTAAATCGGGTAAAAATTATGACTTCTATAGGGTCCACAAGCTAAAAACGTGATTTTTCATAGAATCAGGGGTCATAATTCAGGAAGTTACGGTCCGATATGCACGAATATCGAAAGGAACCGAGATCTTTGGGTTATAAACTTACATTTCAAATGTGGGCGTATAAAAATCTTGTTGACGCTCTAGAAGGCAAAGTTAATATCCGATTGACTTTAAATATATACAGTGTTTAAGGTCATGAGACGAAGAAGCCTATTTAGTTTCAGCGATTTCCGATAATTACTGCCAGAGTTATGGCCCTTGATTACTTTGAAAAATCTTGTGGACGCTCTAGAGGCTAAAGTTAATATCCGATTCAGTTTAAATTTATACACAGTGTTTAAGGTCATGAGACGAAGAAGTTTATTCATTTTCAGCGATTTTCGATAATTATTGCCAGAGTTATGGCCCTTGATCACTTCAAAAAATCTTCTAAATGCTCTAGAGGCTAAAGTTAATATCTGATTGACTTTAAATTGATACAGAGTGTCTGAGGTCATGAGACGAAGAATCTTATTGATTTTCAATGATTTCCGATAATTACTGCTAAAGTTATGGCCCTTGATCACTTGTGACCCTCTAGACGCTAAAGTTATCATCCGATTGACTTCAGATTCATACACAGAGTTTAAGTTCTCGAGACGAACAAGTATATTGATTTTCAATGAATTTTTATGACTTGAACAGCTAAATCCATGATGTTAAAAGTTTCCTATACTAAACGTTAGCATGGGGCAGAACTTTATAAAAACCAAACAAATTCTAATGGTTTTCTGACAATTACTTAATGAGTTGTTACTCTTAATCAGATTTTAATGTATTATAAATGTTTCATTACCGAAAAAAGTAAAAATATGTGCTAACTCTTGTTGACTGCCCGGACGATTTTGGTGACTTTAGTCTATTTGAACACCGTACTGCACAATATATTTTTTTAGTATTTACATGTCAGATCTCATTCAAGGATTGCCAATTTTCTATAAATTTATGTGTTGCGTGTACAATAGGCCTATAGTTATTTTCAGGTACCGTAAAGGTATCATAATCTGAATCCCTCATAGAATGATATAAATTTTGATTTTATTTGTAAGCGATGCTTACAATTATACCCGTCGTTCACCTTTAAAGCATTTTAGCGACGGTAATATGATACATATGGCGAAATGATTTCTTGTGTTTTCGACCAGTGGTGATGATATAATTTGAAATAATGATATCCGGTCGGCATGCTTTTGCCGTATATGAAGGATCTGTCGGCCATTTTGATTACATGTATTACCATTTTTTTTAAGACGAAACGAAACATCAAATAATCACCGCTTAGATTAATCAGTAGGAGTAAATAATGACTTGAGATAGGCTTTATATACATCATGGCAATTATCAATCAACTAATCTTTAATCCAAGACAACTGATTAGTATTAGTCATTAGCGCAATCCGGATTATCAGCCAGTTGATTAATTTATAGTTTTCAGCCACGTGATTGACACTCGATCATTTAATGGTTAATCCAAGATAAATGCAATTAGAATTTTTTTCCGCCAGTTCTCAAAAAGAATCGCCAGTATTCAGCCACATGATTGACACTCAATCAATTAATGGTAAATACAGGATAAATACAATTAGAATTTTAAGATTTTTTTCAGCGAGTTCTCAAAAAGAATCGCCAAAATCAAACTTTAATCGCCACTTTCATATTTTTATCGCAAATTGCAACTTTGGCAAATGACAGCGTGAGCCCTGGTCGTGATGGACCAATTTACGAAATGTAGCTAAACCTTGTTTCAGACACTCTTTGATCTTTTGGAAGCAACCAGAACCTGTTTCAACAGGATAATTCTACAAATGAATAAGTAAGATAAGGATTGGGACTTGCACCTTCCATTTCTATGATAAACAGGTATAGTGGTGGTTACACCACTAATACTTGGGGAATGTGTTCCAGTCGGTCAATATCTACTGTTCTGCTGAAAAGTCGCCGTCAGTTCGTAATGCTGACGAGTGGGTACCTTTCTTAGCTTTGCAAGTACACTTAATACAGTAACAGTGTTGATATATTATCCCCTCGTTCACTACACAGTCATTAAAGTTCATTTCATTGTTACCTACCTTTACTTTTAATAATTTGTTAACTTTCTTAACTTTCGCTTCACAGAATGCACCTTTATATTTGGCACTCACATCTGTACCTACTGTAAGACAAGGTGGTTCATTTACAGCCTACAAAAGAAAATTTAGAAGTCTATCATCCTTGGGAAACATATACAAATTTGTGAACCAATAATGTTTATAAAGCTACTGTAGTGATAACAGAAGCAACATACTTTGCTCATAAAATGTCAAGAAATATTATAACTATCCAGCAGCAAATCATGCCAACATTAGATAAGTTACAGGGAGAAATCTATACACTGCTATATCAAAGTGATTTTTGAAGATTAAGGATACCACTCAACATGACAATTTCACATCCTATGATGTGTGTCTCGAAGTTGATTTTGCTGTGATTGTGTGGACCTTTAGTGATTGTAACAGGGTTGTGTTTTGGGACTCTGTCAATTGATGTTGGTTATGGATGTCCTGGCCAGTGTCTTTGTTATTTGAAGTTTTGAATTACTGAGTTTATAGTTTTGGTTGTGAGCTAATATAAACAAGCCAACAGTGAGGCTGATGTCCCCCGCCGAAATCCCAAAATAAATAGATGACACACATTAATTAATCGCACATTTATTTTTTTTTCAAAAGTATCAGGCAATCAAACTATACACTAAGTTTCATCACTCTCTATCAGATAGAATCCAGATTATCTTGTCCCAAAGCATTGACCAATGAAATTGATTAGCTCTGCTTAGCTTCAGCTCGAAATGTTAATCATTGAACTCAGTCAAGACATTCACCCAATGAACATCTACATCATGATCAAGTCTAAACATTCTACCTCAATGAAAAGCAGAGTTGTTATGTTCCAAAGTCTTGACCAATCAAATTGCTTATCACTCATTAGCCTAAGCGGAAAATTCTCACCATCGAAATTAGTCAAGGTAATGATATAATGAATCTATATTCGGAGTTATTGCACTCACTTCTTTCTAAAACCGGCAGGTTCGTAGGTACATATCACTTATTGTCATGCAGCCGAAGCTTTGATGTAGAGTAACGGAATCTGCCGAGGTTTCCCGAGTGCTAGAAATGTCTAATATTTTTCGGATATATGTGTGTGTGAAATAGCTTTATTTAACGCTCGCTTCCACCGAAGTGATGTCGCAGACAAATTATAATGACTGTCTATTGATCTGGGCGTTATATACTCTTACAATATGTGACTTCTATGACTAGTTTATACATATTGTCGACTCACATCAATGCGATTAAAATGTCTGACAATGCAGAAACCACGAGGTTAAAACGAAGATTAAAATTATAATGGATTAATGAATAGTCCGACAAAGGGAAAACAATGGCTTCTGTTTAAGATTAGATTGATGAATTGTCCGACAAAGGATTAAGTCAGTCAATCAATGCAGATTAAGTAGTTAATCAAGGTAGGTTTATAGACCGTATAACACGATAAATACGTTGATCACTTAATTATCTAATCAATCCAGCATATTATCGACAATAATCTGGTTGAGTGGTAGTTATACACTCAGTAAACTATATTAATTTCGGAATTTTGAATATTATTCACCATGTCTTGATGTCCGATTGGGCATATTCCCGGTCGGACAATATTGGGTGTTTGGAAAAAAGATTCGGACAAGTCCGGAATATACGTGCAAAATCCCATCACTGCTCTTACTTCATTATAACCAAAGTTATCGTGCCTCAAAGCGTCAACCAATCAGATTGCTTATTTCTGCTTACCGTAAGCAGACAATCTTCATCATAGAACTCCACCAAGGCATTCACCTAATGAACGCCTACACCAAGTTTAAACATTCTACCTCAATTAGAAGGAGAGTTATTGTGTTCCAAAATCTTGACCAATCAAATTGCTTATCGCTCTGCTTACTCTCAGCAGAAAATATTCATAATCAAACTTAGTCAAGGTATTAATGTAATAAAGCTATACTCCAAGTGTCCTCACTCTCACTTAATTAAAGTTATTGTGTCTCATGTATATAAATCAATCAAATTGCTTATCTCTGCTTACCCTAAGCCGAAGATTATCATCTTCGATCACCATCAAGGCATTCACCTAATAGACACCTATGCCAAGTGTGAACATTCTAACTCAATTAGAATGAGAGTTATTGTGTTCCAAAGTCTCGACCATTCAAATTGCTTATCGCTCTGCTTACCCTGAGCAAAAAATGCTCATTATCAGACTTAGTCAAGGTATTGATGTAATGAAACTATACACCAAGTTTCATCACCATCACTTAATTCGTGTCCAAAAGCATCAACCAATCAAATTGCTTATCTCTGTTTACCCTAAGCAGAAAATGCTCATCCTCAAACTCCATCAAGAAATTGATCTAATAAACACCTACACCAAGTTTGAAGATTCTAGCTCAATGAGAAGGAGAGTTATTGTGTTCCAAGGTCACGACCAATCACATTGCATATCGCTCTGCTTACCCTGAGCAGAAAATGCTCATTATCGAACTTAGTCAAGGTATTGATGTAATGAAACTATACATCAAGTTTCATCACTCTCACTTAATTAGAACTAAAGTTATCGTGTCCCAAAGCATCAACCAATCAAATTGCTTATCTCTGCTTACCCTAAGCAGAAAATGCTCATCCTCAAACTCCATCAAGGCATTGATCTAATAAACACCTACACCAAGTTTGAAGATTCTAGCTCAATGAGAAGGAGAGTTATTGTGTTCCAAGGTCTCGACCAATCACATTGCATATCGCTCTGCTTACCCTAAGCAGAAAATGCTCATTATCGAACTTAGTCAAGGTATTGATGTAATGAAACTATACATCAAGTTTCATCACTCTCACTTAATTAAAACTAAAGTTATCGTGTCCCAAAGCATCAACCAATCAAATTGCTTATCTCTGCTTACCCCAAGCTGAAAAATGCTCATCTTCGAACTCCATCAAGGCATTGGACCTAGTAAACACCTACACCAAGTTTGAACATTGTACCTCAATTAGAAAGAGAGTTATTGTGTCCCAAAAAGTGTGACGGACAGACAGACAGACGGGCGAACCCATTTTAATAGTCTCCTGCTTTCTTCGAAAGGCGGGGGACAATTAGTGTAAATGTTTCTGGTGGTGGATTTTCTATGGTATGGGTCTGGAATTATATTGTCCGGATTATGTTTTTTTTAATTTAGTAATGGAAATGTTTTAGTTTTTATATGGGTTTGGTTTTTAATGTTTGTGGTCTAGTTGAAAGGATAACTACTGGGATCTTTCAGTTTTGGGGGTGGTCTCTTTCTGAAAAGATTGTTTATCAGGTGATTTGTAATTCTTTGTCCTGGTTTTGTTATTTGGTAGTGTAGCTGGGATAAAACTAAATTACATGCATGCATCATTACCACACGTTACAGAATAGCGAAGGTCAACACCGGCTCTTTTCCACACATGGATAAGCTACTTAGTTCAACTTTCTCATAAAAGATGACTGTGAAAGCGAACTGTGAGTTTCATACGTGTTTGATATGATTATATATGTAATTCAAATACTGTAAGGTAAAATTGTAGGATGTATAGCCAATATAACTATTGGTTAAGGATATATATGGATAATGGCAACTATTATATTTTCAGGGCCAACTTGCCCATATCATGTAAAACCCTGTCGCTTGTTATCAATCAAGAAATCTATTTCCCCGCACTAAGCAGGTTTAATCTACCAACTTTACCACACCATTGCAGGTGATGGAAAGGGTAGGTCTGCAATATGGAGCCCCCATATGTGCACATCTATCATCAAGCTTGATTTCTCGTTGTGACTTTGTGATTGTGTTAAACCACTGGAACTGAAATTACGACAGATTCTGTATGAAGATAAGATCCGCGGAGCAGTGAAGATTGAACATTTATATTTTATGAACTATTGATTAATTTACATTGTTAATTGTTTCATTTCTTTTTTAATAGTGTCTGGTAACGTGGTATGTATGATTGTAAGTATGGATGTTGACGGTATTAATAAATAAATTGGTAAGTTAGGGCATAAAATTACGTAATTACTGATAGATCATAATCCAATACAAATTGCATTATACCAAAATATAGAACAATTTAGGTCTTTTTCCAAAGCGTATAGGTAAAACTGAAGATGAGGTTTCTGAGTGGATGAAAGACGTTCTGACGATGATTCAGAAGCATCTAACCCATTAAGATCGCCAGTTAATCCAATGCTGAAATTGTCTATGTTTTATGGAGAACCAGGAAAAGGTGAAGTTAGCTACAACCTTTGGAGATATTGAAGTAGATTGTTTAATTTCAGAAGGTGTATATGATAACCATGTAATACTATTGGCTATTCGTCGATCCCTTAAAGGAGATGCAGGTAAGGTTATAATGCGGTAAGGTCCTCATGTTGATGTTAAGACTGTTTTGGCCAATTTGAATTGTGTTAATGGTACATGCGCACAAGCAGAATCTTTAATCAGACTCTTTTACAGTGCTAAACAATCTCCATTTGAAATAGTTACAGATTGGGCATGCAGATTAGGAATGTATTTTGGCGTGGATTGTTACCAAACTTACGTGATCTGTCTGCTCACAAATATGATAAATCGACAAATTTTGATGCATTACGTGTTGAACTTCGCCGTATAGAGCATGTTTTAGTTTTTTTTATATGAGTTTGGTTTTTAATGTTTGTGGTATAGTTGAAAGGATAACTCGCTGGGATCTTTCAGTTCTGGAGGTAGTCTCTTTCTGAAAAGATTGTTTATCAGGTGATTTGTAATTCTTTGTCCTGGTTGGTTATTCGGAAGTTAGCTTGGATAAAACTAAATTACACGCATGCATCATTACCACATGTTACAGAATAGCGAAGGTCAACATCGACTCTTTTCCACACATGGGTAAGCTACTTAGTTTAAATTTCTTTTAAAAGATGACTGTGAAAGCAAACTGAGTTTCATATGTGTTTGATATGATTATATATGTAATTCAAATACTGTAAGGTAAAATTGTAGGATGTACATGTATAGCCAATAGAACGATTGGTTAAGGATATATGGATAATGACAACTTTTAAATTTTCAGGGCCAACTTGCCAAACATAAATATATTTTGTGTTA